CCTGTGCTGAAGGCCCATCAGGGAAAAGAGCATAGAAGAAAACCATCAACACAAACAGCCCCCAGAAGCCTTTTCACATTTCCCACCTCACATCTGCCATAATGGCAAAATCATGTTTGCAAACAACAAGGAAAAACTGCCTTAAACATGCATTTCCCAAAACACAGAGAATGAATTCAGCCTGCTCTGTGAATGCCCCTCTATGCATGTGAGAGATGACTGGTAATAAACTGCCTCAGAAGAATGCCAAGACCTCTGCTACAGAGAGCATCAGCTAAAGGCTGCACAGATTGCCCAACTCTGTCTGCATTTATCTTTCTTTCTCACCCTTTCCTCCACTAAGGCTCTTGTTGTAGTCCTTGGACTTGTTGACCATTTCATTAAGGGCTGTAAACACCCAATGAGACTTAGGGCAAGGTTTGACAGCTTCAGGAAAGCAGTGGCATATACAAAATATGACTGATGATGCCCTAAGGACCGGCACAGGCAGTCAAACCAAATGGGGATGCAAGTGAATTTCTCTTCCCTTCCACCTTGTGTTCTCTGTTTTAAGGAGGCAGTTCCCATGCTGACAGGCAGGCAGCCCTCTCTACAGAGTAAGACGATAGCAAAACCTGCCTCTGCAGCCAAGGACAGAGAAGAGACTGGAAACATATGCTCTTTGTGTTTGGGATGATTCAGCTTAGGTAGACCACCTGAGTCAGAGCCCAGATGGTGTAAACTGTTGAATCTTAGAGTTTACATTAGCTGAGACTCTAGTTTAATAAATATATTTTAATTAAACTTCTGAACTCTTCTGATATTCTTTATAAAAAAAAAACAAACAACCAAACTTCCACACAACCTCCAAGGGGAAACTGAGGAAACAAAAACTGATGTGACTTTAAAGTAACGGTGTGAGTCACTGTCAGAGTTCAGGCAGGAGCCCACAGCTCCTGAGCATCAGTGTAATATAACTGATGCAAAGGCAACCCCTGAAGCATGTTAAGCTAAACCAGCAGCTTTGGGAGGTCTGAACTGCCCTGTGCACTTCAGTGAATTGATATCTGAAAGGCTCAGGGCTGATACCTTAAAAGTCAACATTATTAATTAATTCATACTGAACAAAGCGTGCTGGCAAGGGGCAGTAACACTCTTCTGTGGAGTTTGGGACGTTGTGCTAGAGACAGAAGGCAGTGAGCTTTGAAGAGCGCTTGAGAGAGAAGCACACTGAAGCTGCATATGAGGCATCTGAGCTTTTTCAGCAAGAGCTAAACACAAGAAGACATCGGACCATCAGCAATGCAAGCTCAGCAGAGCTATCAGGTGGGATTCAAATTTCTTGGGGGCAATCAAGCCAAAGAGATTCCTGAGGGCATTTACAACTCTGCCTGAACTGCTGTGCCATCTGTCCCTTATAGTTGAAGTTTATTTTGTACGTGGCTTTTGGAAGAGGATTAATACCATCTTTCTCCCTCAGTTTAACCCTACTGGTGATTGACTGCTGGCAAGAATGCCAAAACATTCCACACAGTAGATAACACACACAAAAAAACCCCAAACAAAACACCCTGTCACTTACTCATGGCACCTTTTCTGTGGTATTATCTTAAGCTGAAGCCATTAAGGAAAGGGCCTCTAGTTCTCTGTTTGATTTTGTTACACAGTGTTCATTCAACCAATTTCTAGCAGGTATCTATCAAGCCCCAAGAGCAGTACAGCGGCAACGTGACTCAGCTTCAGGAGAGCAGACAGGCTTTTTCAGAGCTGGTTAGTAAACTAGTCTCCAGCACCTGAGTGGGTTGAGATGGTTCTGTGAAAGGTATGTTCATAGGCGGTTAAGATAAGCAAGATGTGGAATCACATAGGTAGGTATAGTAAGTATACCAGCAGTTTCTTCCCATATGACATACATGACCGATAAGCATGTCAACCAATGAAGTAAGACATCTTAGGAGAGGACGCCTGCAAGCTATTTGGCTTTGAAAATACATTCTCACTTCTCATGTGAATAAAGATTGAAATTCAGAAGTATCAAGAAATACAACAGAGCTTAAACAATATGGTACCTGCAATTGTGCAAAAGTAAATACAACAGCCTACGAATGTAAGCTCCACAATTCTGCTGGGTGGGGGCATGCATCTGGATATTTTTATTGGCCTCGTGACGGGGTGGGGGGTGTTGCTCTTTATCATCTGTATCCAGAGGCTATTTGCTTCCTCACCAGAAGACAGCAGCATGGAGACCCTTTACTTCCATAGTCAAAAAAGCCTGTGGTGGGAAGAAGGCCAAGGTACGGCACTGGATAGTACACCAAAGCTAGAAGATACATTAATATAGCATTCATAGATACAGGCCACAGGTGCTAAGAAGAATACTGCTATCAACAGCCTGCTCTAGATGGGGCACATATGTCAGAAGAATAGGCAAATAAACTTTATGGATTGACCTGTTTGCTTGGTCTCTGCTATTCTCTGGTGCAGAGACTTTAGTTAGCATGACCATTGTTCCCAGTACATGGCCAAAATCAGTCCATGGCCTTCCTTCGCATCCTGAGCAATTCATCTGCACAGAGGTATAATTCTACTGTCCAACACTAAGCACTGCAGACATCTGTTCCCAAGCCTGGTCTGTCATGTAACAAAAACTGATAATGTGACCCAAAACCACAATGTCACAGAGAATGATATGCTGTGTACTAGGCACTGGTTAGCAACCACTGCCCTTAGACCCGACACTTGGCATCAGTGGCATTGAATCATAAAATACCAGACTGGAAGGGACCTCAAGGATCATCTGGTCCAACCTTTTTTGGCAAAAACACAGTCTAGACAAGATGGCCCAGCACCCTGTCCAGCCAAATCTTAAAAGTATCCAACGTTGGGGAATCCACCACTTTCCTGGGGAGATTATTCCAATGGCTGATTGTTCTCATTGTGAAAAATTTTCCTCTTCTGCCCAGTCGGAATCTCCCCAGAGTAACTTGTACCTATTACCCTTCATCTTTTCCATGTGACTCCTTGTAAAAAGGGACACCGTATTCATTATTAGTTTGGAAAAGAAATGGGTAACAAGTTAGTTTGCTAATAGTATGTAATTCTGTCATTAACAGCCAACTGCGAAACTCTAGAGAACTTGTGAGATGTAAGAGGACTAATTTTATAAACCATGTCTTACAAAACTCACCTTATTAAATTGAATAGGAAGAGCTAAAGCAAGCTGAAGATATGCTACCTTTCAGTTCTTAACTTCACCACCCATAAAAGCAGCTTGTTAGCTCAAATGTGGATTGACACCACCCCACAGCCCATGCAATGAATCTACATCTGACACATTCCACAACTCTTTTACCAAAGCAGCACTATGTTTGTGTTAATTAAAAAGGAACAAAACTTCAAACCTGCTAGTAACCAAGGCAGGTTCTCATCATACTACCTTACCAGTATGGCCACACTTTAGTAGGCATGTCCCTAAGAGGAAATGTGATAAACATGACCCAGTTCCCACTGAAGTCAAGGGAAAGCCTCCCGGTGACTTCAGTGCAGCTGTGTGTCAAGCCAGTCCTTGGCCTCCCCACTCAGATGTCATATAAGTATACCAACCAGAGACCACTGCAGTAAAGTCTGGGGTATTTTTAAATAGGAAATTCTATCTACAAAGTAATTAATCTGGATCACCAGACATCACCTTCCATGTATGATATGCCTCAGAGCTGCAAATTTTGGCCATGAATAATAAATTCATTTCTGAGTGATTACTGAGGTTAAATTGAGAAAGTAAGCTATATGTCCTATGAAGCACCAACATAAATAAAAATAACCTGATTTGGGGAAAGTCTGAGCAAGTCACCCCAGTGAATCCTTCAAGTCCAGATACCTAAGTATCATGGGTATGACCTGATATTAATGACCCCGCTTTTTTTTCTAAAAGAACTTAAATGTTCTGGCAGCAACAGGGAGTAGCGCTTACTCCCCAGAAGATCACAAGCATCTGATACAAATCTTCCTTTACTCTCATAGGCACAACTTTCCCATGTCCAAACTTCCTATTACTAGGATATGCTTCTGATTGGATCATCCCATGGATTTTGCTTGCTTGGTAGGAAGGATGATCTCTAGGGAAACATTTCATGTCTTCTCTTCCAAAATCAAAGTAGGAAAATGCACATTTCTGTAATGAAAGCTAAGAGTAGAGTCAGTGTCCATTAACAACTGTGTAACTGTCTAAAGGTTCCAACTCTGACATTTCCCAAGTGCGTGACCCGCAATGATAACTGCTAGGTGTTTCTTAAGTGTTACATAGCCTATGCTGGTAAAAGAGGAGGTGGAAGGAGAAGATTCAATGAAGGTAATGAAATGTAGGGAATCACTGCTTTCTTCAAGCCCTTCCTTCCTGAGGATTTCTAATAAGAAGAGATAGTTGGTGAATTCGCACTTCCCACAAACATCTTCTCAACTCCAGAACAGAAGAGTAAGAGATAGTTCTATTACAAGAAAGGTCTGAGCGCTTAATTCCAGCCTGGCAAAAGCAAACACAATTCCACTGATTTCAATGGAGTTACAGATGGCCCACTTAATGTACAACAGGGCTGATTTGGCCCTTCTCCCATACTGTAGCACTGCTTTGCCTCAAAACCTTTGTTTTCAAAGTAATTAACCATGTGTCAACAGTCTGCAACACTGAACTCAGATTAAATAAATGGAGATAGGTGTATATTTTAAAACTTATCCCAGTAGTGGACTTCTAACAGCAAGTACTGATCTTTTTTCTGTTTAATATCAGGATCTTATGTCAGTATCACAAGCAAGAAACTGAGGATCTGCAGAATAATATAAATTATTGTACACGTATTTCTCCCTCCCACAGTTTCCTACAGGAATTAAACTGGAATCATGCATAAGCATAGTGAGAGTCTCAGGAATAACTTGTTCTTCCTTATAAGCAGTCTCAGCACTAGAGCAGGTGGGCACGGGCTCCCTTGCTAAAAGCACAGAGAGAGAGACAGAAGAAAATTGCTTACTGTTTCGAGGCTTTTCCTCATCCATGCCTTCATCTTCATTTTCTGGGTCAATGTCTTCTGCTTGAGTTATCCAGTCTAAGTATCCTTTCAAATCCTCCTCTAGCTGTTGTTTTTCCCGTAACTTCTGGAAATCGCCCCGAGCCTTAGCCTTCTCTCTTTCTTTGGAAAACTCCCTAGCAAGAGGGAGGGAGGGTCAGGACATGGGCAGAGGGAAGGAAGAGATTGAAAAACAATGGGTTAGATTGATTTCCACTAGAAAGTCTCCACATCCCGTGTAGCACACCCAGCTTTCTCTATTCTTTCAAGACAGACACATAAATGGATTATTCTTGCTAGATACACATGTAAAACAGCTGGAGTGTCCATATTTTTACCAATGCTTAGGAAAAGATGAATTCCTTTTTTAATCCTTTCATTCTCCACATTTGATTGACAATTCAAATAAAACGCATATGTAACATTTATGTACAACACCATACACTTTCTTATATTCTTTACCACTTGATATTCTCCAACAGTTATCCATAAATACCTATATGAATAATGGTTAATTTAATTCAATGATGAACTGCTTGACAATAATCTGACATCTGGAGAGTGAGATGGTGGCTCTAATTTTTAGCCAGGTTTCAATCTGTCCTTAAGATTATACATATAATCACAACAATATTGGGTTAAGTGTACGGGTAATTAATGGTACTCACAATTCTGTACACACTTAATTATGGGCAATTTCATCCACAGTACTGGACAATATATTTGAAAATTCAGACCTCAGTGTTGTACTGCAGACTTTCAGTATTCAAGGCTGTTATCTGACATGAAACAAGTTTTCCAGATCTCAAACTGGGTAGACAATCATGATAGATTATGTGTAGACAAAACTAACAGATTCTGCCAGAAAGTGAACTAGTGTTGACAGTTGATAGTTTTATGACAGACCACTGTTGGGAACACAGGCTTAAAACAGAGGGCATAGGAACAAGAATTTCATGTTCCTTAGTTACGAACATGGGTGCTTGCTTTGCCTTCTTTTTGGCTGTGGTGCTGCTTCTTCCTCTCTTTCAGAGACATCTATACTGCATTTTTTTTTTTTTCTAGAAATGCTGACCTACCTCCATTTAGAGACTCTCCTGTGGTTCTAAACCAGGTTTTAAATGCTTGTATTTTAAAAAGTAAGCTTAATGATTGTGAAAAGTGCTGGAGCAAGAGTACTTAAGCATTGTCTTATATCTGCTGAAGCAGATCACTACATAAGATGCACATGGCAGATAATATGGCCCTTCTGTCTAGAAATGAGAGGCAGTCATCCTTTCCAATGCATTATCCATTACCTTTGCTCACAACTGTCAGCAATGAGTGGATTTAAAAAAAAAACTCCACCTAATATTTGTCTTAGATTTGCTCCTGCAAAAACAAACAGGAAACCTAACACTAACTTTGGTGGGATAATATTAGGATTATGAAAATCCTACCCAAAATGTTAATGAGTGCCATGTGAAGTGTTCTCAAGCAACTGAGAGGGAGGCAAGTTTCTAACAGTAATGGTGAAGTACTTCTCTCCTGTCTGGTCCAAAACCCACTGAAAGATTTCCATTGACTTCACAGGCTTTGGATCAGGCTTTCAATATTATCAGCTGTGCACAAAACCAGCACTGCAGCAGAATGAAAGTAAGATGATGCTTTTATTTCAAGCCAAAGTATGTGACAAAGTATGCTTGTGTGATCTTCACCCCTGCCACATAGCTGAGGGTTCAGCCCATCCCATGGGACTGTGATAATGAAGGTGGAAATAAAGAAGAGAATCTTTGGCTTCTCAGGCCTGAAGGTAGATCATAGTCAACCCTGGGACCAAACTTAATCACAAGGCAGAAACAGCTATTGCAAGCATGGCAAGAATGAAAAATCAAATTTTCTCATGCTGGGAGCGATATTTTGCTATTCAAAATGTAAAACAAACAAACAATCCCCAACAACAATAATAAAAACTGTACAAAGAATTTTTTAAAAATCCAATCAATACTAGTTATATTTTCTGCTTCAATAACATCTTTCCTCTGGGTCTCACATAGTGCCTTATCCAAATTAATGAACTAACTCTCAAAGAAAAAAATAAATCACTGAATGAAGCTATATATTATTAAACCTGTTTGATAAATCAAATCCCAATATTTCAATAGTTGACTCCTAAACTGCTTTTTTAGAATCTAGAACAAATGGGTAAAATTTTGAAAGGGACTGAGCCCTCAACTCCAAGTGACAACTATTTGTATTTGCATGGATATAACTTGCAAGGAGCTGTTTTAGAAACCAAAGTGGAAAACATCATGAAACAGCCCAGCTTACAGAAAGTGAAATTCCTACTGTGCACTGAAATGGATCATTTATGTTGGATGCATCTAAGCTGCCTGCCTGCTTGGGTCTTTTCATTCCCCACTTATTGCCTTTCTCAAATGGGACTTGGGCTGGGGGGAGAGCTGACTACACTGACGTGAGATTTTAGCATGTCTTTACACTGACTGTCTGCATAGGAGTGACTTTGTTACCCAGTGTTTTAACGGCATAAGTGAAAATACTGTGATTGCCTAGTCTAAACAATCTGCAATTGCATGTCTTTTTCCTTTGTACAATGTATGATATTCCACATTCCAGATGACTCTCCAAAGAAGACAACTTATTTAAATTATCTTAATTTCTATGCTCTACTAACATTAAACCATTGAGAACAGGTGGCTGAGGGAATTGCTAATGCAATTCCACCACCCATGTGGAATGCCAGGCTGTACTCAGGCAAATGTGGTTCACTACCAGTGGTCATTTACCACCCCATGTGAAATGAGTCGGTGACCTCAGTCCAGTTCCTATTGCAGGCAGGTGTGCACATTACCTCTGCCACCTTTGCAGTTGGCAATAAATGGTCATTGTTTGCAGTTTCAGCAGGGAGGCCAAAGACCAAATAAGCTTTCTGATGGAAGTGCCATCTTAAGTCTGGAGGTGGTCTTCTCAAAAAAAGACTGCAATATCACGTCAGGATAAGGTCGACAAAGGCTTGCAGAACTACCAAGCAGTCTGTATCTTGACAGTGAACACAAGAATATCAGTTTAAGAGCCGGTGAATCTGGTTGTTTTTACCAGAATTCAGTTTGTGACACCTTCCTTTGCCTCTCCCAGAAAATTATAAGATATGTCTGCCAATGGAAATACCAAAAAGCAGAGTATTCGGGAGAGATGTTTCCTCTGTGTGAAGTTAAAGCGGGTCAAGATCATAAACACCCAGGGTCTGTATCCTGTGCTGTTCCAGAAGAAAATTTCTTGTGCCCATCCTGATGATGGACTATAGGTAATTCTTATCTATATCTGATCTCAATATGATTTTTCATATTTAGAGGAGTAACGGAAAGTGAGAAAAACAGCAGAATTCTAGCAGTTCAAAACTCTTGCTTACTACTAGAAGTGCAGCACAGTCCTTCAAACCTCATCCACCCTGACAAGCACACCAAGGAATGGGAAGGGTTGGAAGAGGGGACAGAAGACTAGGAAAAAGTCCTGAAAGGTGACAAAAACTGGTCCAGGAGGAGCTACAACCATAGCGAGACTCTCATTTGCCTTCCTTGGCAGTAAAAGCATCAAAAGCAGCCAACTGGGTTTTCCAGGATCCTCTCAAAGCAGAAGAAAAGGCTGTTCTCCTGCCCTCCATTTGCCCTAGGCAACTGCTTGTTTGGCCTGTGTCCTGGGATTTGCATCACTGCTAAGCAAAATATAAAAAAAAGAAATGTGAATCTATATGCTTAGGTGTGCGGGTCTGAAAGTTGAACCCACGTTGCCGTTTTTTTTCCTTACTAGCTGACTGAAACAGATAACACAGATGTTGAACATCTCTGATCTCAAGAGACCTCTAAGAGGGACTTCCCTACTCACAGCAATGATGTAGAATCCTTTTGCCTGGGCTTCAGGAGATCTACTGTGTGATCTGCTGACTGGATATTTCCTTTGGAATACATGAATTTTATATTGTGCTCAGTGAATATAGGAAGAGGATTATAGCTCTATATATGAATACTCCGTCAAACTATTTAGCTTAGCATGTGACTAGTAAATTCATCAGAAGGGCCATGAATGGATGACATACCTGAGGAAAAACAAATTACAAATGAGCTCTTTAGGCAGAGCAAAAGTCAGCATTTGATTTTGCAGGTGCAATCAAAGTGTCTTTGTGAGTACAATTAATTACACTTACATATTCAGAAGTGATTAAAAAAACCTAAGCTAATCTGTCATTGACGAAGTCTACCTACACAACATGCTTGGTGAAGTTCCTGAAATAAATAAATGGGAAGAAATCAGAGATGCCCAGAATGGATGTACAAAGATTCCCAGGAATGCTGCTTTGTATCTACATAGAACAGACAGGTGGATCATCTACATAGATCAGACTAATAGCAATAACAAGTCTCTAAAAAAAAGCTGAGTCTGCAAAGTGAAGACACTTTTCAACTCAGCAGAATTTAGAACTGCTTTAGAAAGTTAATTGTTTAAGAACTGCTTATTTAACCCCCCAAAAATTTGGAACATTTGTCCCATCATTTCTGGTTTTTTTGGGTTTTTTTTTTTTTTTTTTTTTTTTTTTTTTTTTTTTTTTTTTTTTTTTTTTTTTTTTACGGATGCAAACTCCGAAGTTTCTTTTTACTTTTCTCCAGTTGGGAAAAATTTTGCAGAAACAGTGCAGCTGTCATAACACTGTGAACACAGCCAGAAAGAGTGACTCACAGCTTAAACAAGGTGAACTTCATCTTTGATATCAGTTCTCTCTACAGACTGTTTCCATCTCTTACCACCAGCTGTGGTGGTCTAGCTGCAGTATCTCAGGAGGTGGAAGATTTACGCCCCAAAACACTTTCTTGAGTTGAAAAATGAGAGAGAGAGGAAATTCAGTTTTTAATTATGTACAGACACAAATCCAAGTGTGGGTAAATTGAATCAGCACTGCTTCAACAGTACGCACTCCTCAGGGCTGGGGTCACAGGCACTGTTTATCCAACCAGATGCTATATAATCTTTAACCACTATCTTATATGGTCCTTGAGTGCACCTATGATACAACAGATCACTTTCCCTCTGTCAGCTGGTCATCATCCTCCACTACTGCTGACATCCTTACCTGCTAATCAGAGCATCCATCTGGAGAAACGAGGAGTTTACGTTTTAAAATTGTACACAGAGTATCACTCTCCAGATATCCAAACACAGACTATTGCCTCACACTTCATTACTGGGGATATTTTCCTTCTCCAGTTACTGCTTGGAAACCCTTCACTTGCAGCAGCTGTCTTAGCTGCATGTCTCCTTCAACGGAGTAATGAAGATAGTAGTAATACCTCTTGTAGATCTGCTATTACCTGTCTCTTTGCAGGATGGCCAATGGTGGATCTTCTTCTCTGGTCCTACTACTCTCCCTTCCTATGTTGTTGGCCCAAGTACTGAGGACATAATTTCGGTGAGGCATCAAGTCCTCTCTCCTGCTCAGAGATCATTTTCCCTCTCTTATGATTAAAAGACAGGGGACTTCAGGGCTGCTGACTCAGGCACCAAGTACAGGCTCTGACCAAATTCATCTAGAGCTCATTAAAGTAGGCAGGATGTTAGAAACAAAGAAAAAGAGGATGCATAAAAGTCCTCATGCTGTATTTATCCATGTACATAGAATGGCTGTAGGCACCCAGTCATGCCCAAATATGGAATTAGAAGTCTAATTCTAGGAGATCTTTTTTTAAAAATATTGTGAGGAATGTTTGCTGGCTTGATTCCTCTAATTATGTGGCTCCCCAGGGGCAGTAAAGTTTTTAACTACTGGGGACAATATCAATTGTTTTAAATCAAAGCTACTAAAATGATGCTTTGCAGTGAGGGTTATACTGCAGAACTGAAATACAGCTAAATGTCTATATGTCTTATATGTCTAGCTTAAACACTAGAAGGAATTCTCCTGCTTCTCTGTTCATCCTTAGAAAAAGTTAAAGGGAAATGATCTTTTCTCCCTGCATCATGCTAGGTTTGTAATCCGCACAACAGAGAAGATGTGCTTATTGAAGAAGAAACGTGCCCAAGACACTCTCCAGGGAAATTAGTCTCCCATTAGGCTGTGCTTTAGAGATACTAAGCAATATGAAAATTTCTCATGTGAGAAGACATAATTTGGCAGGAATCTCATCCCACAAATGTGAAGGGATTTGTCTCACGCTCTCATTCCTCCTTCAGTCCCACTGACTCTTCCAGAGATTTTACCATAACCCCCTTCTTCTATAGTGAATGGTATGCTTTGCCCACAGGGAAGCATAGTGTTGTCCTCTTCCCACAGAGCACAGGTAGAGGTTTTAGGGAGAGAAACATGTTACAGGCAAAGAGTTGTCTCGTATTGTTTTGATTTAGTCAAAAGTCTCCTTCTATGCCATTAGGAATGCCATATTTTGCTATTGGCACAGCAATAGCCTAGGCCTTCTATTAATGTTCCTGAAATCAACCCACCACTGCCCGTTGTTTTGGTAACCAGAAAGTAGGAATAGAAATACAAATTTTCAAAAATAAACAATAATAAAACATTTTCCTGGTACTGCTTACCCGCTAAGTACACCGAGAACCAAGTTAAGTACAAAAAATGACCCTATGATGATTAGTGTAACAAAATAGATCCAGGGCCAGTCCCTTCCTATGGCATCATTGACCTGGAAGAGTGGAATGATAATTAGTGAGACAAGCTCAGATTCTGAGCACTGCAAGGCTCCAGCCAAAGAGATCCCAAGTCACCAGCAGTAAGATGTTTTAATAGCCATTTTTTTTGAAATTTATGACAGGTTAACATTAGCGATTTTGAATGCCCTGAAGTTGAATTGCTTTGTCAGAGAATAACACCTCTTTTGTTACCTGTGTTATTTGCAATGTTTGAACATTTTGTCAAAATATTTGAGAGCTGATGTGAAGCTTCCTTGGGTTCAGATTTTTAATCCCGCTGAAAGAATCCTGGTGACAGGGAAGAACCCTTATTATGGAGTCTTGCCCTGTAGCATTGGAAAAAGGACACCAAAACTGTCAGCTTACCCGCTCAACACACCAAGAACCAGATTTAGAACGAAAAAGGATCCAAAGATGACCAGACTGACAAAATACACCCATGGTAACTCATAGCCCATAGCGTCCTGCATCTGGAAAGACGAAGGAAAGTTAGAAGACAGAGAGGGAAAGCAGAAATGATTAGGCAAAGGAACAGATGGAAAGGTTTGTAAACAGAGCCTGTGGTTGGTTTACACATAATCATAGCAAGTGTTTCTGTATGTTCTTTCTGATGTGACCACTCCTTTGACTGCTTTTTTCCTCTAGCTGTTTCCTTACAGACAGTGACTAATATAGGCTGAGATATAACCATGTGCCATACTAGCACTTCTTTGGATGCTCAGAGTTGCAGACAGTCACTTTCTGGTGTTTACCCACAGCATCACAAGGGTCCATCTGAGGACTTCTAAACTTCTATTCTAACCACTGCACATATATATGACTCTTTGCTGCCAGTGAAAATATTGCTAGGTTTTGCTAAGCATTGCCAGAGCGTGTTGTCAGATCACGTTTACTTCCCATATGTAGCACAGGTACCTGTACCTCCGACAGAAGCACGTGGTAACTGTGGGCAAATACTGATCTTTCCCTGGCAATGCTCTGGTTATCTTCACAGTTGCCACAGTGAGGGCAGTCTCTTTATGCTTTTGAGGAATGTCCTTTCAAGGCCCACCATGTTCTGATCTGGTCAAAGTGTTTTCTAAAGCTTTCTCACAACCTTCCTTTCTCTCCTGGAAGGATAAATCTCTCCTTCAAAATGTGATTCCTACACAACTGAATATTCAGAGACTTTGAGACTATAAACTGAATGACATGAGCATAGATCTGGCTTTCATACTACGATAAGAATCTGCAAATGAAGCAGGCAGACTATTGTTTTAGCACCAGAACCTGTATGATGTGTAGAGCAACTCTAGCACATAATAAGATATTGTATATATTCTAAAAGCATCTAGTACATAAACACAATTTTATCTTGAAATCTCCTTCAAAGTTCAAAATTTTGGAAAGTTGCTGGATACTTTAATAGAATCTCACTTTCATGATGGTATCAAAAATACCAGTCCCTTCTTCTTTACTTTTCATAAACACTTATCTCCTGAGCCAGACATAGCATCATTAAAGAAACAGATGGTGGTTAACATTTTCAGGAGCACTAATATGATTTATGAATGTAAATTGCAGACTTAAAAGTACCTAAAGGCATAAAGCAGCCCAGGTTCCTTTGTTTTCCATGCTTCTGAAAATTTTATCATATGTTGTCCTCTCCTTCCAGGAAAACGCCCTCTCCTTTGCAACCTAAGCATTTGTTGTGATCACAGAAGAAATATTCTTCCATACATGGGCACCAAGACGCACTTACAGGGGAAGCAATCTGACTCAAGATTCATAACAACTCAGGAAAGGAATTTCAGACCTTCAGTAAGACAAGGCAGGAGAGTAACACTAATATAATCAGTTCTTTGCGGATGGAAGTCCGTTATCCATTTTTCTTTCAAAGTACAGCCACTAAAGTCCTTGTCTGGCAATAGTCCACAGTCAATGGGCCAATCCAGAACTCTATCTCAGGGCTCCTTCAGCTGCAACTGAACTGAAGTAGACTCATTAAAAAAATAAGCTCAAAATGTGCCTCTGTGAGAACAGTTCATCAGCTCCTTCCTCACAGGATTAATACATTTGGTGGTCAGAAGAGAGTGCCTGAACACCTCTCTTCAGTAATCCAGGAGTCCCTCTACCATTCCCTAAGTATATTATTCAGTTTCCCTTTGAACACTTTTGTAGAATTGTTCAGTTAGTTTATAAATAATACTAATTATTCTTTATGTTTGCAAGCCACATTTCATCCCACATGACCAAAAAGTAGACACCTCTGGTATGAAACACCAGTGCTTTAAAGAGAACAAAACATCATAGTACATAAAGATAGAAGCAAATATTCACCTGAAATCATAGTGGAGAAATCAGGCAGGCAAAACGTAACTACCCAACTGGAATTAAGTAAGGAAATGAGATGTAACATCCTCTCTCTTCTACAAAGAACACCACTATCTATATAAAGCAATCCACACAAACAATAAGTATGGATGACTTTGAAAAACTGCTATAAGAATTTACCAGTGCAGGCACAATGATGACTTGACTTCCCTCTAATTATGATAGATGGTGATAAAAAAGCCTCAGCTGTACGGTATTTATCTATCAACAGGGTTGTTTTCATCAGCTGGGAAAGTCAGCTGGAAAAGTAGAACTTCTCAAAGCTGTGGTACAAGTAAATCCTAAATAGCAAATGCCAGGGTACCGGGTACAGAATTCCGGTGCCTGTCCTTTTTGTACTGCTCTGGCATGAAGAAATTTCCAGATGGCAAGAAGCTTCCATCGTGGCCTGATAAAGTACATAACTAGAGTATAGTGTACTCTGGCTATTCCCAATGCCTGCACGATTGCATAACGATTGTACCAGCTAACATCAGCACAAATTAGTCGTGAAAAATAGACCTGCATTCTGGTATAGCAGAGCATTTGGGATTTCTCAGACTGAACATTTAGGAGGTTAGCTTTTCATCTCCTTTTTATTGCCCAGCCATATGCGTAATGGAGAAGCTGAGAGGAAGAGACAGTGACAGTTTCTCAAGTGAAGAGAACCCATCGGTATCTGAGTACTTACTGTCTCTCTGTTGTTGGACTCCCTATGTTTGGTGCTCTCTCATCTAATTTTCTTTAGTAGAAGGTGAGATTATTCCATACATTGTGGGACTGAGCCACAGGTGACAGGAATGTATGTTATATGTTGATATAACATTAGGTATTCGGTAAATTATGTTAAAAAACCCCTTTGACAAGGAGACAGTACATTGTGAGCTTACTATTTGCTCTTGAAAAACGTCTGCAGGAGAAATGCAGACATATAGGCTGCTTGGCAGAAGTTGGGGGGAAAAAAAGAAATAGATTTACTCAAAACAGCAACAGCAACGTATCAACATTTAAGAAGTATTAAGTTCTTGGCTAAGATTGTATCCTTCCAAATATCTGGAAATGCTTCCTCCAAAATGGAAGTATCCTGGAAGTCCAGGATGGACTGTCTTCAATTGAACAATGCTCCCATGCAGTTATCACTAAAAAGCTTGCACCTGTGTTTGAAATGGCTTCCTGGAAACTTATCATCATTCTGCGAATATGTAGCTATTAATCATGTGTGTATGCATACGCGTGTCCTGTTGACTGCAGCTGGAGGCTTTCACTTGCAAGCTTGACTTAGGTGGTAGAGCTGATTTTTCTAATTATGCTATTGAAGTGGAGAAGCTGCAGAGGGTCATGACAAGACCAGGAGTGTTACCATTGGTACACTACTGAGTGCAGAAAACGAGGTCTGCAAAACATATTTTGTACTGTTGTCTACAGTGAACAGAAGAGGGTTCAGTTATAGGTTACCTCTCTAGGACAGACAGTAGAACTCCAGTTCAGCACTCTGGTCACTGAGTGTACTACTTCTCCTCAAGTGTTTACTATTAACTATACAAATCTCAACAGAAAAGGTGGATCATCTTCTAAATTTACAGTTCTGAACAAAGACTATCAGCCAGTGTAGGTCTGAATTATAATATTCCAGCTACAGTAGTCAAGATGATTGCAACTTGATGTCAACTTGAGCATGTATGGGACAATTGTTAGGTCAGCTGGAAGCACAGCATCGGTGGGAATCTACAGATTGTAGTTTATAGAAATAATTCCGCTTTCTGAGTCAAACTGCCTGACCTTTCACAGCTCACATCTCAACACTCACATCTTGCTAATCGCAACAGTGACAAAGTGGGTACATTTCTGAACATTAATGCCTCATCTCTCAGAGATAAGGATCTTAGATTGCTTCTCATGATTTGCTACATACCCTCTCTGGCACTGTGGGGACATCATTTTGCTCACTATGCTTCAGGCTTTCCAATTTGCAAAGTGGGATACTACCTGGCCTCGCTGGGTACTGTCAAAGAAACCACTCAGCATCATGACAAAAAGAGGGTATTTAAGCATATTTGAGGTCTGATGGACCTTGTGTACTGGGGAAGAACTCTTCCTTTCCCAAGCATCCTTAATTGCTATCATGACTACAGCATTTCAATATTCAATTGAAGGCTTTTCTCTCAATGATACAGATAATCTCCTAGAAATAGCACTAGGATTTTTAATTCTGTAGTTTGCTGATCACAATTACAACCAGCAGTTTCCATAGGGGCCAAGGAATAAAAGTCTGTTTATCTCTATAAATAGATCTTTGTGCCTATGTCTTCTGGTTCTTCAGAAGACAAAGGTGAAGACACAGTGGTAAAGCCACAGGAGATATGCATGCTTCACTTGTTTAGAGATTTTTTTTTTTCCCCAGGGATAATAGTCTGGTACATTTTGCAAGTATCTCATTCACTACACAGGCAACATAGTTCAATGATAATCTTAGAGGCATATTATCTATTAACATAAAGGTTGAGCATCACCAAGCACATAGTGGAGGTCTTTCAGTCACTTAATGGGAGGGGTAGCAGCAAATTCTGCTGACTTTACAGTTCACACACCCACACCCTGACACTTTGTGCCAAACGTCTTTCAAAAATAACTGAAAGTTACA